GTGACAACGCATAGCGGGCTTTAATGCTGATTGGTCAATCACTTATATTACACCGCATATCATCTGACTTTAAACGAAGAGAAAAATAAAAAAAAGCAAATAAACAATAAACGAAAAGAAACATTAGCTTCAAAAAAAAACAAAATTAAAAACACATACCTGATTGTGAAATTAAGCAAAGCAAAAAACAAAAGCTAAAAAAAAATAAAAGCCAAAATTTAAAATAGATGATTATTAATTGTTTATATATAATCAGCAATCTCAAAAATGATTGGCCGATCATATAGGGTCGCTATAGCGATGAGTTGCCATCTATAATTTTCCTTATATATTTTATTATATTTGATTATATACTATATTATATATATACAGTATATATGTACGTGATCTCTCATCTGACCATATATTCATGGTATAAATCACGTGATTTTTGGTACTCCCCTTAAAGTGCTTTCATAATTAAGCAATGTGATAAATATCACTATTAAAGAAAAAACTAATATAATTTTTGTAGTATCTTTAGATCCCTGACAATATATTCAAATTGACTTAGTTAATTTTTACAAATTTGCTAAAAAAAATAATGATTTTTGTGGCTGCTTATATATATTTGTGTATTTTTTAAGTTTCTTGTTGTAGTTCTAATGAAAAATAAGAAAGCAGAAATAGTTGTGATATACTTTCTTAAGGATATTTTCAAGATTTTTAAGTCTTCTGTGGTTCTTTAAAGTTAGATACAGTCAGCCCCAATACCTATAACCATAAAGACAAATTAAGCAGCTTAATTAGACTATAGGCTGTAGTTTTATTAAATTACTTTAAGATCAAAACAATTAATTACAAAAAAAAGATTGAATTAATGTAATTGATATATTTGTTATGTTATATAATTTAACAGTTTACACAACGTATAGCTGTATACTATATAAAATACTTTCAGATAGAAAATGTATTGTGTTTATAATACTCCTAGTACAATTAGTTGATTGATGTTTAACTTGTTAAGTAGGTTAGAGTTAGCAAACTTAAAACAAGTAGAGTTAAAGTCTTTAAAATTAGAATACTAAATATTTATTTGTTTTTTTTTATTAGTCACAAAATCAGTTTTGGAATCTTTTTCTACTACCAAGTCTACCATCACTGATATCACTACTATTGATACTATTACCACTGAGACTATCATCACCACTACTAAAATTACTATAGTCTAACCTATTTTTTCTAAAACTACTATTGCTACTAAAGCCACTACTACTAAAATCACTACTGCTCAAGCTATTGTTTCTGAAACTACTATCTAAATTGCTAAATCCAAAGCTATAGAAAAATATTTTTTACAAATGTTGAAATATCAGGAATCTGTAAATAAATTACTTAAAAGATATTATGCAAAAATATATCAGCAAAGAAGTATATATAAAAAAAATAGCTAATAATATAATTAAAGCTAGAATATAATTGCTATTGTATCAAACTATAATATAAATTAGCAAACTAGAAAAAGAAAATTACAACTAGCCTTTTTCTAACAAATATATTTAAATTACTTATATCTAACAATTGAAATATGGTTGTTGAGTAAATAGTAAAGACATTTAGGTTTTTATTAAGCAAATCAAGACCATATGTAAAAAGCTATAAAGAACTTTTTTTTTTAAAAAAAAAAAATAAAAATAAAAAAATAAAATAAAAAAAATAAAAATAAAAAATAAAAATAAAAAAGAAAATTTCTAATTTATATCACAGATAATTATTACCTAGATCATTAATATTTCAAAATTTTGCTTATAAAACTACCTTTTGAGCTTTAACAAAAAAATTCTTGCAAAATTTTACTATAAACAATACTCTTGTTTTATTTCAAATGTTATTCTAACTCTAACTATAAAAAATATAGCTTTTTGTTTTAAAAAAAATTATTTTATCGTTTTATTATTATGTATTAAAAATCACAGGTGATAATTACCTGTAGTGATAATTAGTTATTTTTAATAAAAAAATAAAAATAAAAAAAATAAAAATAAAAAAATTAAAAATAAAAAAAAAACTGATTTTTTTAAGGCAGAAAGTTTTCTAAAAAAAAATAGAAGTAAATTGTTTTTTGAGACAGGAAGTTTTCTAGAAAAAAAAAATAGAAGTAAATCATTTTTTTGAAGTAAATATTTTAGAGCATCTTTTTTTTTTGTTAGCCAAATTTTGGTTTAATAAAAATAAAGTTTTTAAGATTATTGTATATCTAGATTATATAGCCAAGTTATTTAACTTCTAGCATTATAAATGATGTTTTTAGAATTATTACCTATAGCTGTGTTATTAAAATTTGAGATCTGACAGAGAGGTCACCTTAATATCAAAAAAAAAATAAATAAAATTTGAGATCTGATATAATATAAAATCAAAACAAACAATTAAAGCTAACTTTAATACTTGAATACCAAGTTCCAAATCTTAACTTTAATATTAATATAAATGGCCTGGCAGCACTAGTTATAGATTTAGATTTTAGAATGCCAACTCTTGTATCATGTGAAATGATATATAGGTACAGATCATATAGATTTTACAATAATCTGATTTTATAATAATTTGTGACAATTATTGTTATATAAAAATTTAAAAATTTAACTAATTTGAATAAGGTGTAATAATTTGATTACAACACAGAATTTATGAATTTTAATAAAGATTTTAGCAGAATTTTATATTAAAAGATTTTTGTATAACCTGATAATATCTTGTTAATTATTTATTTAAAATTAATGAAGTTTTTTTTTTATTTTAATTCTATAGATCTATAAAATTGAAATAAAAAAAAGCTCTATTGATTTTATATAAATACTTATCAAGATATTATTACTTAAAGTTTGAAAAAAACTTGGCTATTGTTTTTGTTTTGATGATCAACTAATTTTTTTTAAACTTTGAGTAATAATATCTCATTATCTATCTATCTAAAATTGATCAAAATTGAGTGTTGCTAATTTTTCACCCTAGGTGATATTACTTAGTTGTATAAGAACCAATCAGATTGTTGAATCTTGTGTAACCAAAATAAAGCAAAGAAAGAAAAAAATCAAAAATCCTTAATAACTTGAAATTGTATTATATTTTGCTTCTAAGCAAAAATTTTTAGTGCTAAATTTTACATATATTTAGACCCTCTTATTTTTAATCTAAGTTAACCCTAACCCTAACTCTAAATTTATTTAATTTTTAACAACAATTTTATAAATACCGAGTGACATCACCCCGGGTGAAAATTAGTTATTCTCAAAATTAAAATCTGATTGACTAATAGAAACATGAGCTCGAAGTAAAAAAAAATTTAAAATTATTAGACAAAAAGACATATTTAAACTATAAATTTGAATTTACAATGACAATGTTTAATCCATTGATCTTTATAATCATTGTCAAATGCGTATCTGGTTAAACTTAATAAAAAAATGTCTTCAAACTTAAATACATATATAGATAATCTTTATTAACAAAATCGCTTCCTAGCTAATACATAGTTTAATAACGAGATAAAGAATGAAAATTAAAACAAAAATATTATTCGATATTAGTAACGGTCTATCAAATATTCATTCTAAAAAATTTATGATTAATATAAGTAAATTAAAAAGAGCCGTCAAATATCAATAAGAGTAATACACGCACATAGAGAGTATGGACAGTATAAAAACCAAAAACTAACTATAAAACATAGTGTGTAATCATACGTATCCTACACATACTCTATATATAATATATTGTAACTTTTAAAAACTTGGTCGAATAACCTATATTTAGAGAGAATATTGAAAAAACTAACTGTAAGTATTGTTGCTTGAATCGTTATTTTCAAGTTTTTTAAAAAAACTTCACTTATTAGCCAAGGTACAAATTACCTTACCGATTGCTGAATTACCTTAACCTATAAGACAAAAAGTGCTAACTTCTGGACTAATCCTCTGTTCTCCGGATTATTTTTACTGTCGTTTAAAGTCAGATGATATGCGGTGTAATATAAGTGATTGACCAATCAGCATTAAAGCCCGCTATGCGTTGTCAC